TTGGAGCATATCCTCCATGAATAAGATAGGACTATTGTATTCAGATCATATTTGATTTTTAAGGATAACTAGTCATTGAGCTGATTTGGGCACAATTTTACTTTATAAATTTTCTCTTCCTAGAAAGTATGAAGAATCATTGGGCAGTTCAAATAATTCAGATCTGAGTAAAAGGAAATGCTTTATCTCAGGCTCCTGTGTTGCCTGGTTTGCACGTGGGAAGGAAGCAGGTACAGCCCAGCCACACACCACCAAAAGACCGGCTGCTTTTCAAAAGACTCGGGATGGTGGTTTTATTTTCGTTAGAACACTAAGTGAGCCTGCTCTGGGAAATGTGGGAAACAGGGAAAAGTGAGTAAGAGAAAAGGAGAAAAAAATGTAGTATCAGGTTCCAAAACGCTTACCAAAGATGGTGCAAGAAAGAGAGAAAAGGAAGAGGAGGGAAGGGAAGAGAGAGGAGGGGAAGGGAGGGGAAAGTGCGAGGACAGTTGACTTTCTCGTTTTGCTTTTGGGCAGACTTCTCTGTCAGCTGCTTCTGTCCCCAGACCTTCAGAGCCAGCACACTGCGTGTGGAGGACAGAGTGTGAACAGCATGGTCCAGAGAAAGAGGGGAAAAAGAATTGAAGCTGCACGTTAAGAAGCTGGCCTTGTGCCTGCCTGGCAAGCGTAAAGTCCTGAGTTCGATTGCTGGTCCCCCCACAAAAACAGGAAGTTGGCCTTGACTCAAGAGACAATGAGGAGCACAAAGGATGTTCTAGACAAAGAAAAGAGCTCTACTAGGGTGTCTCCGTCTGGTGTCTGCTGCTAGAACAGAATGCTGGAGATGGGTGACTTATAGGAAAGGAGGTTTCCTTAGCTTGAGTTCTGGACGCTGGAGTTCAAGACCGGGCAGCCACATCTGCTGGCATCGGTGGGGGCGTTAACCCTGTGCCACTCTGAGCCTTGGTGGAAAGCCAAGTGTGAGACAGTAGAGACAGCAGGGGCCCACAGCACACCAGCAGTTCCCGTCTGCATAGCGTCAATCTATCCACGAGGCTGGAGGTGGAGAACCCCAGGCCCCTTGAAGTCCCCGCCGTGGCTCACTGTTGGCTGGGGATCAAGCCTCAGCGAGCTCCACTGAGGACACAGCACAGCCGAGGGTGGCACAGGGCCGAGGGTGGCACAGGGGCCAGAGGCAGCCAGGGCTGAGTCCAGGAAGAGGCCGAAGCAGGGAGGGCAGAGCTGGAACAGGGAGGGGCCCTCTGCCTGCCTGAGGCACCGCAGCAGCTAGATTTTGCCCTTGTCTGGGGGAAGCCAGGAGAAGCTCTTCACAACAGCATCAAAGCCAGTTTTCACAGCTCATCAGAGGGGCTCGGGATTTAACTCAGTGGCACAGCATCTGCCTGGCAAATGTGAGGTCCTGAGTTCCATTCCTGGTACCTGAAGGAAAGAAAGAAGAAAGAAAGAAAGAAAGAAAGAAAGAAAGAAAGAAAGAAAGAAAGAAAGAAAGAAAGAAAGAAAGAAAGGTAGCTTCTCCTGGCTTTGGAGGTGATGGTAAATGGGAAGGGTGGAGAGACAGGACGAGCTGGACCTGTAGCTCCAGCCCTCCCGGAAGGAAAAAGCAAAAAGCGGCTGGTCCGTTCTCAGCAAATGGCAACATTAAGGGGGAAAAATACCTGCTTCCTGTCACACAGGCATTCATCTAGAACGTGAAGGCTGTGTTTTTGCTGTCAAAGGTGGTATTCAATTCTATTACTGCAGAGTGCATCATCGCTCTGATGAAAAGATCCGGGGAGAGGAAGCTGTAATAAGGACATAATAAGCTGAGAGAGAATGTACTTCTCCAAATCCCCCGAGCCTTGCTTCTCCACCGACATTTAAAAGTTCTATTGTTAAAATACACCGAGATTGTGGGATGGGAAGAAACGACGTTTTCACCACTGTGTTAATGGAAAGGCTCCTCTGAGAGGCCCGGCATGCCCTGACGGTGGATGGAGGCGCTGGGGTGCTCTAACGTGCGTGACAGGGGCTGCGGGCTGGGATGGGGACCTCTGCAGACCCAGAGCTCTGGGAGCCTCAGCCTGGGCTCAGCTTTGTCCCCTGAGGCCTCCATTCTTCTAAATGCTAAGTAGACCATGGACCCCTGTTGCCCATCCGTGAGTAGAGTGATGAGAATTAATAAACTTGTGTGGGTCATAAAGTACAGTGGGACGCTTGTAAGAAAGTAGATGGCTCTTGAGGCCTAAATACTAAGTAAAATAAACCAGGCACAGAAGGTTAAATATCATGTGGTGTGTCTCGCACGAGAGAGGTCCAAAATATGAGTAAGTTAAAGAGCCAGAGGAAAGAGAGACAGTGAGAGACAGGGAGTTAGACTCCGTGAAGACGGGAAGGGACCCAGAAAAGGGGAGTCCGAGTGGGCCGGTGTAGGGATGGAAGTAACAGTGATCAGGCTGAGATCGGCTATGGACCAGTTCCCCAAGAGGGGTGTAGTTATTATGCATTGTACACATACGCTAATAAAAACAAATTAAAAAGAGGGCCGGCCAACTACGCATAGTGAGAGTCCCAGAGAAACCGCGAAATTCACTGGACAGACTCCATGGACATGGATGGAAGCATGCTGACTGCCGCTAAACATGGAGCTAGGATTCAGGGTGCCCTGAAGGCGGGGTGGGGGCACACATACACCAGCTGTCAGGGAAAGGAGGCTGCAGTCTGCACAGGTGAGGAGGTGGAGCCCTCAGGCAGAGCACAGAGGACTGTAATTTCCCAGTAGAACCCTGTAGGGAGGAAAGGCCGCCTGTCACAGCGGCACCCAGACTTGCTACAGTCACACCCAGAAAACCCTGGGAAGACCTCAAGAACTCAGGCTGTGGGAGCACAGCGGTGTTGTGTAGCGTTTTTTCATACGAACCCCACGTCATGAATGACGGTCCCACTGCACCACGGAGGACACTGAAGCCCAAGGGTCGAGGGACTCACCTGAAGGCACACGGCTTGCTTGCATGGGGCAGAGTCAGACCCTAGTCCAAGTTAGAGACCCAGAGGCCAACCTCTAAATGACTCGATTAAAATTAGAGCATACAGGCGCCCCTCTCTCTGCCTCCCCACTCCCGGCCACGCTTCCCCACCCTGTGCATCAGCGCCCCCTCTCCTTGACCCCTGGAGCGTCGCCCTGGCCCTCCTTGTTGTGCCTTGGTCCCGGGCCTCCAGAGCTGGGCCCTAGCTAAACTCTCTGTCTTTACAAACTATCCAGCACCAGCTACTTTGTCACAGCTGCAGAAAATGGACTAAGGGGAGGCCCAACTCTAAATTCCTGTGAAAGCAACCTTCAAGGCCCAGCTCAGCTTTGTAAGCCAAGGCCGTGGCAGAGCCAAACTGTCCCTGGTCATCAGTGTGGGGTCTCTGGAGCAGAGCAGAGCCACTCGGTGATAGGGATGGGGTAGGGTGGGTGCCCTGGAAGGAACGGGCAGCAGGCAGAGCAGCTGAGGGTTACAGGTAAGTGCACATCAGACCTCATCCCGCTCCTCCAGGGGTGGGGTCTGAGACCCCGTGTTACCCACAGACCCCTGGGGGGCTGAGAGGCAGGCCGAGGACTAGCCACTCAGCACTCACCAGCCCCAGTGCCTGCACCCACCTTGACAGTTCCATTTTCTCCTGTCACACAGACCAGAGGCCTTAGTTTTCTCCATTCTCTTCCTTCCTCAGCCTCCAAGACCAATCTGAGTTTGGTTCTCAGTTCTTCTTCACCAAAGGCGTAGCACCCCACCTTGGTCTCCATGTCTTTAGCTCCCACCAAGCCCGGGCTGTATCTCGGGTAGCAGGGCCGGAAAAAGTAGCAGTGCTCAGCAATCAGGGGCCCTAGGAAGAACACCGTCACCCCTCACCACAGAGCGCACGGCTGAGGAGCTTGTCAGCATCACCAACTCGCAGTAGCAGACCAGGGTTGAAACCCCAGCAGACACTCGTCATCCTGCCAGCGGCGCACCAGCTGTGTGCCAGCTGCAGGGACACAGAACATGACAGACAGGAGCCCGCTACCCACAGTGCACTGCCGGAGACCTGGAGGGGTCACAGACAAGAGCATACCGTGCAGGAAAGAGCTACCACGCGCAGGCCTGCAGGGGAGGTTGGCCCCTGGCTGGAGCCTGAAAACTGGGCTCCTGAAGTGAACAGCTACATGGGATGATCAAAAACTACAGTCGTGTTCAAATTTTTAGAAAACTGAATCCCCTTCAAAATCCGCCTCTTCACTTCGATCACCATTCTTGGCACTCTCTGCAGCAGTTCTGGAAGTGCTCTCTTGCGAGTGTCCCTGGTTGCGCTGCTGTGGCTGCCTTGATGTCCTGAATTGAGCAAACATCCGCCTCTCTTGGTCACTGTTACTTTGGGGAAGAACCAGAAGTCGCACTGCACCGCACCTGGTGAAGAAGGCGGTCGAGGACACGGCGTCATGTTTTCATGAGCCCTTTCTCTGTTGGAGGTCACCGACAGCCGCACTCACCGTATTTTTGATCACACCTTGTAAAGACACTAAAGAGCACTTCCGCACCTACTTTAGAAAGTGCCAAGAACGGGGGGCTGGGGATATAGCTCAGTGGCATAAGCGCCTGCCTGGCAAGCGCAAGGTCGCGAGTTCAATCCCCAGTACCACACACACAAAAAAAAGACAGTGCCAAGAACAATAGGATGTGTGTGTTCAAAGTGGGGGGAAGTGGGGAGGGGGTTTGTGGCAGTGTGTCTCTTACTGTAATCAATTTTTAGAAAATTAAAACTTCACTGTATTTTGTGGTCAGCCTTGTAAGTGAAGAGGTGGCTCCCCATGCCTGGATGATGCCAGCCCTGCGGGCTGCACTGGAAATACTGCTTCTTCCCAGGCTAAGCTGAGGGTGGCCGTGTGACCACCCCTAATAAAAGCCTGGGCCCTCAGTCCCACGGGTACTGCCGCATGGCCACCCTGCCCCTGCACAGGAGGCGGAGCACATAGGGACCTTCACGGGGCTCCCCCAGGCCTTGCTTCTTCTTCCCTAGGGATTCGACTGTGTGTCTTTCCCATGTCACTGTCATACGTCTCAGCCATGAGGGCCAGGGACGCTCAGAGAGCTGAGTACAGGTGTGGTGTGGGAGCCACGCACACAATCCAGGATCACGTCATACCGGAGGTGCAGCGGTCCTTTCTCAGAAGCGCTGTCCTTTATTTTGACAATTTCCTCTCATTTTTTTTCCTGGAAGGCGTTAGCATTTCCTAGCACTTCCATTCACTGCTGGACGCAAGGTAATAAACAGTTCGTGGGAGTTAGCTGTGTGTCTAAAACTACAGCTGGTGGCTGTCTTAGTCCATTTTGTGCTGCTATAACCAAATACCCGATTCATTTCTTATAGGTTCATTTCTTACAGTTCCAGAGGCCGGAAAGACTAAGATTGCAGGTCTCACGGTTAGCTTGGGCCTCTTGCTGCTCCATGCCATGGTGGGGAAGAGAGAAAGAGAGAGAGCACAGAGAAAGCCAAGTCACTCTTAGGACGAACCCACTGCCGTGATAAATAGTGACATGAATCCATTCATGACCATGTGAGCCACTCCTCCCTCCACCACTGTTGAACTGGGGATTCGGTTGCCAACACAGGGACCCCAGGACCACTCAGCTTGCCCTAGCCCCCTTTTCACCCCTACTTGCTTTAGCTCTATTGAAAAAAAGAAAGAAAGAAGGAATGAAAAAGGAAAGTTGATGTCCGGCGAAATCCAGAAGGCTGGCACCCAGTTAACTGGGGCCAAAGTTCAAATTCCCTCACCAGGTGGCCCAGCACGCTGCAGCCTCCCCATGCCAGCCTCCACCTTGCAGCCTTGTCTCTCACCCCAAAGGGCCTGGGCCTCACCCCAAATCCTCGCTCTGGGTCACTCCTCCTCCTTAGGTCACCTCAGCCCTCCTCCCGGTCTCAGCTGCCTCCCTATCACCCCTTCTCCTGACCTTCCTTTCAGTCAGTTCAACTTTTCTGCATTCCTGCCTGTTGCAAACCCTGCCCTCCTGGAGGCAGAACTTGTTCAGTCTCTACACTGGAGGGCTCATGGCACACAGGAGGGGCTCCAGGCCTCCTCGCCAGATCCTGGCTTGATTTGTCCCAGCGATGGCTTGACTCACAGTCAGAACCAGGAGAGGAAAAGTTATTCCCGGCTTGACAGCCACGTTGCCGGGTCTGGAAGAGGTGAGGTCAGTGCTAATCCTTCCCTTTGTTACCCAGCTACCCAATGCTGGACCTGAGAGGCCACCGCTCGGAGGCACAGAGGGGCCCAGCACAATCACAGTGTGAGACTCCACCAACTGGGAAGCCCCTGGACACACAAGGCTTGGAGGGTTCAGTCCTGGGGCCTGATCAAAGTTATGTATTGATACATTTCATTTAAGACTGGTGTGTACGGGGATAAATAGATGGGTTTCTGGGGATTAGAAACAAGCTCTTCCCACAGCAGAGTGGAGCTGGGGACCTTTGTTTTCCTGGAGGACAATGTCATTGTCCCAAGGAAAACATTAAAAAACTGAACCAGTAAAAATAATCACCCCATCAGGAGGCCTTAGCACTGAGTGACAGGTTGTCAGAAATACAAGTGAGGCTGGGCGTGGTGGCACGCGCCTACAATCCCAGCATTTGGGAGGCTGAGGCAGGAGGATCATTGCAAGTTCGAGACCAGCCTGGGTTATATAGTGAGCTCAAGGCCAGCCTGAACTACAGAGCGAAGCCCTCTCTCAAAAAGACAAAAAACAAAACAAAACAAACAAACAAAAAAACAGGTAAGTTTCAGCTGGGGAGACACTGAAAAACAAAATATTCTCAAATTCTACAAACATACTGGTGAAGGTGTTGTCCCATGTGTACTGAGCACTCACTGATAAATTCTGCTTCAACTATGAAGTCTCTAAAATGCTATTTTAAAAAGGAAACTATTAAAGCAAGGCATGGTGCATGTGCCTGTAATCTCAGGACCCAGGAGGCTGAGACAAGAAGATCCCTGTGAGTTCCAGCCCAGCCTGGGCTATATAGTGAGTTCAAGGCCACCTGAACTACATACCCAAAGCCTGTCTCAAAATGACAACAACAACAAACTATGAAGCAAACCTTCTCCACATGAGACTCTGAGGGGCAGCCAGCTCACCACCTGTCCACTCGGCTGACCCTATGGTCCCGCATCCTGTCCCGAGCCTGCCAGCCTGCCTGCCTTCTTCTCTCACTGCTGCCTGGGCCTGGGCTCAGGCTCCAGTGCTCACCTCCTCCCAGGCCCCTGTCATCCGGTGCTGCTGGAGTCCCCTTGCCTCGGTCTCCCCGAGCTGTTCCCACAGTTCTGCTCCATCTCCAGCTGCAGCTGGAACCGAATCCTCCGAAGCCCACTCAGCCCCTCAGGGTCCATGCAGCCCTGCCCTTCTCTTCTTTCCTTCCCTCCCCCTCTTTCTCCTCTCCTTCCTTCTTCATTTCTTCCTTCCCCGCCACTGTCCCTTCCCTTGTTCCTCCTCCCTTCCTCTTCCGGCTTTCTCTTCCCTCCCTTCTTTCTTTCTACATTTGTTCTTAAAACTCACAGGGGAAACCCGCACAAAGTGAAAGTGCAAGAGGCCAGATGAGCCCCTGTCCACAGGGCAGGTGGAGCTGCCCCTCTGCCCACCCCTGAAAGCAGCCCACCTAGGCCTTCCCCCTCTCTCAGGAGCCTAACCCCATCTTCCTCCACTGCCCGCCAGGCCACAATCTCCATGGAGATGCTATCCTCAGGGCTTTCCTACCCCCTGCCTTAAAGGATTCTCCTCTCTTTCTAGCTTCGTTTTCCATTACTAACCAATTGTGCGCAGTAAATGACACATGTTCAAGGACCCTAGGGGCGTGGGGGGTTGGGGGAGCCAAGGTCCTCATGGTGGAGGTCGGGTGAGCGCCATCAGGTGGACTGAGGCAGAGGAGGACCAGGTGGCAGCGGGGAGCAGCGGAGGTCTGCAGGGCTTGCAGCTACGGTCCACCTGCGGCCACCACACAACACTGCAGACGCTGCTTCTTGGATTTGCCCATCTGACCCTCAACCTAGTTTCTCCAGATAGCAGATTTCAGACACCTAAGACCTGTAAGACCTCCAGGGGAGTGCACGGCCTTTCTGTTAAAAAAAAAAAAAAAAACTTAAGACAAACTATATGCTGCAGAGTTTAATTGAGCAAAGGATTCATGAACAGGACCTCTTTCAGAAAGGTTGAGAGAGTTCTACTCCACAATGTGGGCTTCTGACATTTACACACAGGAAACGGAAGTGAGGCAGATGGCTAGATCAGGTAGAGTCCCACCTTTATGTGATTTGAACATGGTCTGCTCAGCAGGCCGTGGTGAGATCCTGAAGCCCAGCTTCTGTGATTGGTTGAAGCCCAGATGCTGTGATTGGCTGAAGCTCAGCTTCTATGATTGGCTGAAACCTGGCTGTTGTGATTGGCTGGGACTCGGTTACTTGTTACTAAAGTACATTCCTATAGTAGGTGTTTATTTAGCCTTTGTACTGAGTTCTTTGTGTTCTTTGCACAAGAATGTAAGTACACAGCTGTTCTCAGGCCAAACTTAACCCTGCCCAGGCAAGAATCTTGGAAGGAGGGAGAGAGGATGATACTGGAGGGAGAGAGTGCCTGGGACATAGCCTCAGGACAATTCTGGAGGCAAGGAGCTGATCGTGGCTCTCTGGGAAGATAGGATTCCTGGCAGAGCTGAGTATTCATTTAGTGTCACTCACCATGGAGGGCTGCTAAGAGCACAATTGGTTCTAATCAACTCCAACTGACTTCCATAAACTCGTTCTTTGGGGTCAACATCTCACCAGATTAATGACTAATTTGAAACATTGAAAGAATGAGGGCAAAACTCTGTCCAGCACTTAACTGAGCTATGCAGTGCTTGCTTCACAGCCAGAGATGGACACAACGTACCCTGCAGAAACCAAGCAGCTGGCTGAAAGGGAGCAACTGCTGCCTACACTGAAAAGCTCCTATCAGGCGCTAGTTGCTTTCTATCTTCTCTCAACCACCTAAAAACCTTGCGAGGTGAGCATTACTGATGTTGCGTTTCACAGGAGGAGCTTAAGCTCAGGGCTGCTTGTGAACTTGCCCAAGTTCTGACTCCGGTCGTGTTTTCCTTGCTCCTCCATCAGCAGGTCCCAGGACAAAGGCCACTCTACGAGATCACGTGCACACGCAGCTCATCTCGGTACTTAAGCTGAATAACCATTTGGTTTGATTTGTAACTTTTAACGTGTGAATAGTCAGTCACGGAGGCTGACCAGGGCAACAGGGCATGGCCCCAGCGAATAGATCTCAGAGCAGGGAGGGTGCTTACTGAGCACCTGCTGTTTGCAGGGCTCATGCTGGGCACTCTGAGGCCTGGGGAAAAATACAAACTGCAAGTCCTGCCCTCAGGAGCTTAGAACCTGGTCCTCATGTCTTGCTGGTCTTGATGGTTCCTCCCCGCTCCACACTGTGGTACCTGGTGCTGTGTCAATCACATGCCCACAGGGCACCGTCCTGGGCAGGGCCTGGCCCTCAGCACTCGGACTATGTCAGCAAAGGCTTCCTGAGACGCAGTTGCTCTGTCTAAAGACAGAGCTGAAGATCTTCGCCCTGCGGTCTCATGGGGGTTGCAGAAAGCTAAAATAAGCTAATGGAGATGATACCAACACAACGAAGTCAAAGGCATTCAGTGCACCTGAAATGCTGGCTGCTGTTATGATTACTGGCAAACTTTGCTTTCTGCCTCATTGCCAGGCTGACTGGGCTCTGGTGGGAGCTGGATATGCGGTCATTCAGAGCAGGATCCCATTTATTGAACGCCTGGTCCATGCCAGAGGCAGATTGTCTCATCAATCCTCACAGCGCCTCTATGACATGAGTGCTATTATTACCGCAGTCAGCCTTCTGTGTCTGTGGATTTCACATCCTGGGTTCAGCCACCACCAACAGAGAATTTTTGTAAAAATTGTGTCTGTACTGAACATGTGCAGACCTTTATTTTCTTGTCAGCATTTCCTAAACCATAGAATACAACTATTCACATAGCATTTCATTATGCTAGGTATTATAAGTAATCATCAATAATCTAGAAGTGGTTTAAAGTATACAGAAGGATATACGTAGGTTCTGTGCAAATACTATGTCATTTTATATATGGGACTTGGGGGTTCATGGATTTGGATATCTCTGGGGGATCCTGGGACCAATCCCCCCTGGATAATAAGGGATAACTCTATTCTTAATTGACAGATGAAGAGGCAAAGATCACACAGTTTAGGGAAAAGGCTGAGCTACAGTGTAACTGTAGGTCTGTGTGAGCCCAAAGTCCATGTGGTACCACCAGCAACCAGGGTCCAAGCAGAAGTATGCACCTTGGCACTGACAGTGGGCAGGGAATTCTACCAACTGATCACATCAGTGCTTGAGCAAGGCTGGGGCCTTTAGCTGTGGGGTGCTTGTTCGAGAGGCGACGTCCCCAGCGTGGGTGGTTTTTCAAACACAATCCCGCAAGCAAGCAAGTTTGCCCAGACTTAGAAACGCAAAGCTCAAATCAAGCTACCACCCTGGAACGTCAGTGAGGGGTGTGAACAGGGACCCCACCTAGAGCCTCACACATGAAGGGTGCATGGCCGGGGCTCTCTGCTCGAACTCCAGAAACCTCTAGGCTTGTGTCATCTTAGATGTTTGTTTTTGCTTCTAAACTGGGGACGGTTGCTGGGACACATGATCGTACAGCCCTCACAGAAAATGACATTTTCCCAGTTATTAAAATTGTCCTGCTGTCATCGCTAGATTGCAAGGCTTCTCTCTGTGCAGCTCGGTCCCTTCTTCCTGTCTGAAACTGTTCAGCTATAGAAAGATTTCTCCTCAGCTTCCAAAAATGAAAATCAAGTTGATATTTTTCTGAATTTGAATAGCAACCAGAAAAGAAGGTCAAGTTTTAAAACAGGCAACACAGGAGAGGATCGTAATTAAATCCACTCTGGGCTGGGTAAGGATGATTCACTTCAAGTACATAACATTCTGGAAACCATGTGACCAAAGGTATTTTTCTAAACAACCTCAAGCACTGCTAGTCGAGTTATTCTTTCAATTGCATGCCAGCGACAGCTCCTAATCCAAGCAGTGCAGACTGGATTTTCCTTGCCTGGCCTTGTTTCCACAGTGAAGCCTGCTGCCTCTGCTATAGCCTGGAGGATCTTGCAGCTCAGGGCAAGGATGCACTTGGTTTGCAGGGGAGATGGCACAGTCAGAGCTCTTGGGTTGGCATCACAAAGCCTTATGACTTCTTCAAATGGTGGTACCTCTGAAGTCCCACCTCTTCCAGGAAGCTTTGACCCTCAGCACTTAGGAGACCCAGGGAACTGTCTGCTCAAACAGCACTTGCTTCTTACAGGGACAGTCCCCACCACGCCCCACACTCTCCCACGCCCATTGTCAGAATGACTCACAGGTGGCTGTCAGGCTAGCTCTCAATGCACTAGCTGGGTCCTGCTGTGGCCACCCGACCCCAGAGGAGCCCATCAGAGACCTTTGAAGCCAAGAAGCAGCCGACCTCTTGAAACCATGGAGAACTGATCCAGTATCCAGGCCTGAAGTCACAGAGACAAGGTCCTCATGGTGTATGGGTTCCCAGGCCAAGTTTCCTTGAAGCTCAGCTATGCTTGGATCCTGCAAGGCTCCTATCCTTCACATCAGTTGTTTTTTCCTTAAGGCTAGTGCAAGTGGCTTGTCTCTCATTTGCAACCAAAAGACTCCTAATAATGTCTCCTGACTGTCTTCATTTGCAATGACATCATAAGGTATAAAACCTTGATAATTTCACTTCGTCTACTACCTGCATGGGCACCATGTTGACAGGTGGGTTCACTTTAACAAAGTTTGATGTGTTGAAATACAGGTAATCCTGTCTGAAACATGAGTAGATGTGCATTCATACCCCCTGAGGAATTGTTGGTCCTACAGAAAAGAACTTATTGGAAAGAGTCCTCTCAATTATAGTTCCTAATGCATTATAAATATTATTTTGAAACTGGCCCTGGTGGCACACAGCCATAATACCAGTACTCTGCGAGACTGAGATAGAATAATCAAGCTTCAGCCCAGGGCAAATTAGCAACTCAGCAAGACTCTGTCTCAAAGTGAAAAAGGGCTGATGATGCAGTGAAAGCTCTGGGTTCAATCTTAGGGCAATTCTACCAAAAAAACAATTGAAATCAAAGTGCCCATCAAAGAGATTAATAAAATAAACTACAATGCACTTGGTGTTATTCTACAATAAAGTATCATGGACTAGGTGGTTTAACCATCAGAAATCTACTGCCTCACAGTTCTGGAGTCTGGAAGTCCAGGATCAAGGTGTCAGGAGGTCTTTCTCCTAGGCTTGTCTGCCCGTCTTCTTCCTCTTCACGGCATCTCCCCTCTGTCTGCATGGCCAAATTCCCCCTTCTTATAAAAACACCAGTCATCTTAAGGAGAGCCCACCTACATGACCTCATTTTAACCTGATTTCCTCTCTAACCACACTGTCTCCAAATAAAGCCACGTTCTGGGATACCGGGGTTGCATTTTTTTTAGTCAAGGTAGGACAATTCAACCCATAACCCATAGGATGGAATACGAGGTGGCCAAGACAGAGAAGGAGGGCTGTCTGTGTGTATGAAGCATTGGATCTCCAGGCATAGTATGAAAACACAAGACATAGTCTTTATGCCTGTATATTTTTGATTCCTCTCCAAACTGTGTGTATGCATGTGTGAACACGAACATATATATGTAGGTGTATTTCTTTAACTTTTGAAAAGACTCAGGAGTATAACACTTACTTCTTTGAAGAATGAACTAGGAATAAAGTAAAGAGACTTGAACTTTTCATCTATTGACTTTCTACATTATCTGAATCATATATGTGTATATTCCTATATATATCATATATCACTATACACACATACATGCTTCTTTTCAGTATATTTACTACATGCTTCTTATTCTCTTCTGTACTCCATTTAAAATATAAATTGTGTATTAAAGATAAGAGATGTTTGATACATAAGTCCTCAGCATAAGCTTTACATGCCAGACATACCCTGTGTTCTGCATCCCTGTCTGTACTTGTAGCTCTTCCAAGGTTGTGTTTGTTCTAACCCAGTTCTTTGAGGCCTGACCTGGTTGGTCAGGAAGTCAGGCCTTGGCCAGTGCCCCACAGGCAGTCATAGGGAGGAGGTGATGGTGAAGAAACCAAGTCCAATCCTCATGTGGAGGTTGGCTGTAACTGCATGAAGGAAGAAAGAGTTTTCAGACAACCAAGAGGGTTCAGGCAAGGCGTCTGTTGGGGCACTTGGCATTCCA